GAGCCCCGCGTCCCGAAAAAAAAAAAAAAAAAAAAAAAAAAAGTATTTGATGAGAAGATCGGCAGGGAACGCTCCGCCTTACACACAAAAACTCTGGCTGTGCTGCCTCCCTTTGAGAGATCTCCTAACTGGGTTCAGCATTTCCCTTCAGCAGGGTGGCTTTTAAAAGAAGAGTATGGTAGGGAATTCCCCGGCGGTCCGGTGGTTAGGACTCCGCGCTTCCACTGCAGGAGCCACGGGTTCGATCCCTGGTTGGGGAATTACGGTCCCGCAAGCCGCGCAGTGGGACTGAAAAAGTAAAAAAGAAGAAGATGGCAAATAGGTCAAAACAGAGGAGTTAGTCGATTTACTCGCCCTGACGGATATAGCCCCCCCTCCCCAGTTTCCTAGCCTCCGGGGGAAGTTCTGGTCGCCTCCGTCTTTCCTTCTGTTGGGGTGGGGAGGGCACCGAGGCTGGCACTGGGGATGTTGAGGCTCAGGTCACGCTCCTCCTCCTCCAGCAGCCCCGCCCCCACTTCCACAGTTTGCACGCATCTAATCCCACCACCTCCCTCTCTCAAAGTCCGTCCTGCTTCCTCATCACCTTCAGCACCGAGGCCCAGCGTCCAGTCCTAGCGCACCTTTCCGACTTCATCTTTTATCCCCACTCTAGCCCCGGAAGCGGGGGACTTGCACACGGCCACACCGCTGCTCCTTCTGAGCCCCTTGCCCAGGATGCCAGCCCTTCCTTTTTTTTTTTGCTGTACGCAGGCCTCTCACTGCTGTGGCCTCTCCCGTTGCGGATCACAGGCTCCGGACGCGAAGGCTCAGGGTCCATGGCTCACGGGCCCAGCCGCTCCGCGGCATGTGGGATCTTCCCGGACCGGGGCACGAACCCGCGTCCCCTGCATCGGCAGGCGGATTCTCAACCACTGTGCCACCAGGGAAGTCCCAGCCCTTCCTTTTTCTACCTGACAAACTCTTATTACTCATGTGCCAGGCCCAGCTCAAATGCTACCATCTCTGGGTGATCTTCCACCCTCCTCCCTGCCAGCCCCCGCCTTCCTTACCTTCCGAGCACTCTAGTTGCCCACCCTAGAGAGGACAACTGTGGTCTCTGTGGTGACCACCAACCCTGTGGTCTAGAGCACGATATCTTTGGAATCTCGGCATATAGATTACAGTGATTATTACAGAGTATAGCCGTGTAGATTACAGTGAGTGTCCGCGTGCTTGTCCCATTTAATAGCCCTGTGGGGTGAGGGCTACTGAGATCCCCGTTTCACAGAGAAGGGAAATCGAGGTTCAAGGAGATGAAACGACCTGTCCCCAGGACACCCACCAGGAAGTGGCAAAGATTTGCACCTAGGTCTGTGTGACCCCAAGTGAGTCCCCTTCACCACCATGGGCTGAGTGTCCTACATCACTCAGAGGTAAGGCTGGATCTGTCTGACATTCAGCCTCCCTATTCAGAAGGCCCACGGCCTGGGTGATGTCAACTGAAAAAAATGCACAACAGTTGAGTCTTGGTTTTATTGGGACCTTACTGAGGACTATAGTCAGAGAGACAGCATCTCAGAAAGCTCAGAGGAACTGCTCCAAAGAGGTCAGGGAGAAGCCACTATATATATAAATGTTTTGGCTGGGAAATACATGTAGTCAAGCATACATCTCGGTAAAAGATTACTGCTAATCACAAAACAACAGACATCTCAATTTAATGATTTTAGTGCTTTTCTACGGATGGGAAGATGCAAGAATCTGGGGTCATTGAAATCCTTCCTTAGATATGCATCTTAACTATCTAGGGGCCATATATCCAAAACACAGAATGCTCCCTCCTGTTTTTCTCCATCCTGAATTCTCTTTAGGGCTTTAGGCCTCACTGCCGGTGGGCAACTGCAGAGGGTAGTGACTTAACCCTTTGCAGAACTGGAAGATGAGTGAGAGTCTGTCCTTTTTGTCAACAGTGGCAGCTCCAGGAAAAATGCAAGTGTCTGGGGAAAGTGTGAGCAGAAGTAATAGGCTTGAAGGGGAACTTAAAAGAGGAAAGAGAGAGAATTAGAACTTTCAGTCTTAACCGAAGAGGCCCGAAGACTTAGAAGGTTCCTTAAGCGTACCTGAGTCTCACCTGCATCCAACACACATTCTCTCGTGATGCCAGCAGCCCTGGGCAAATAATTACCCGGCACCTACTTAAAACCCCCAGCCCAGGGACGGAGTGCTTATTACCTCCCATGGCAGCCCAGTTACCAGCGAACAGTACCAGCTGAGGGGAGGTGTTTCCACTGCCACTGCCAGGAGTCTGCATGGGAATAACCCTTCAAGAAGGTGACTCGGCAGTTGATACATGTCCATCTTAAGAGCCTTGAAAACACATGTGCCTTTTGTGTCATCAGTTGCTCCTGGAGCTTTTCGGAAGAGGAGACCATTTGGACAATGCTCTAAGCCCGAGAATGTTTACTACAGCAGTCTTCCTGTTTGTGCAAAAATTGAAAACATCCGAAATCTCCATCCGTGGTGGATTGGGTAAATAATTTATGGAGCTCCTGTGAAATATTGTTGTGCATCCTTTTAATACCCTGTTGTTCTTTCTTCCTCTCCTTTTCCTCCGCGTCATCCTCCGCCTCCTTCAGAGAGCTGCAATCTGCTTTTCTAGATTGTGCACGTCTGAATTCTAGCACTGCCTCATGAAAGCAGTTTAGACCCATACGTGGTGTGCAGAGGTCAGAAGAACTCTAAACTAATTGAGGGGAGAAGGGCTGAGGGCAGAGCGCAGGCCACCCCAGCTCCTTGATTTCTCCGTGACTCCTCCCCACCATCCATTCTGCAGAACTCCCTCCCATTCCTGGAGAATATCTGGTTAATTTCCACCAAGATATTCCAGATGTACTCTGCTTCATCTCCCAATGGAGGCTTGTAACTTATTTGCT